AGAAAACGTTTACAAGCTTTATCACAGACAGATTTTAGCAGTTCCTTTGTGAATTGGGAATTTATAGTTGTCGTTCCTCTACATTTGAAATGGTTGTTGTAGTTTTGAGAATTTACTTCAGTGACCAGCCTAAATACGAACAAACTTGATGGGCAAGCTGTTGTGTTAGCGTCATTTTTCTGTAGTCAGCTGGATAGTAAGTTCAGGGTTCGACGTGTGGCCGTTCTGTACCGGTAATCATTTTTGCAGAAAAAAGAATTGTTACCGTTGCGCTACTCACCAGTAGGAAATCTGCGCCTTTTTTACTCTATTTTGCTGATGTTTTTACTATTCTACAGTCAAACGCATAAGTTTTAACCCTATGGGCTCACCGGCTTTGTCGACCATCACGGCACATGAAAACCTTAATCCATCAAGGGCAGAATTTGTAGGTAGGTCTAAACTACAACGAAATTTACGTGTTCTTACTTCGAGAACGCTTTAACCAATTTTTGTATTAGAATTAATACTTATTTCATTTACAATTGGGCTGCAAAATTCCAAGTTCAAACTTATTCAATTGATGAACACGTGAAATTCGTCCTAATTTGAACCTACCTGAGGGATTAAGACTCCCACTCGCTGTGACAGCCGACAAAGCGTGTCGGCCTATAGACCCTATAGGGTCAAAACTTATGTGTCCGATTGTACATTAAATACGGATGCCATTGATTTAAATTAAAACCTCATTACGCAGTTTTGATTAGGTTTGTTTCCAGTTTGTGTCTTGCGAAATTAGGTTAGGTTGAAATGTAAAAATTGCATTTGGGAGTGTTGACCTGAAACATTAAGAATATTTACAATACCTTTAGTTTATAGCAAATGCAGAAATTACTGAGGTGGTCCACTGTATAGGGAACTTTTGATATTTTGATAACCTGCGCAGAACTAAACGTTTTTAAGGATGCGACTATGCAAAGCACGTTTTTGTTATTTTTATATACAAAAAGAGTATCTTTCTAACTAAAAAGACGTTGCCGTTGTCTTTTTCCATTTTTCTGTTAAAAGTATTCGCAAAAAAAAAAATTAACGCACATGATGGTAAATCATAGCTAATCATCTAAAATGACTTGTACGTTTTCAAGGTTGCAGAGTGACCCGTTATCGTTAAAATTCTTAACTTAAAGTACTGTAGGTGCGGTTAAAGGTATATTGGTACGGAGCCTGTTTTTTGAAATATTCTTGGCCCGAAATACAAAATTATGAATTTCTAGACGTGTAATAAATACTAAGAACTTTTATAGCAGTGGGTACTTAAATACTACTCCTACAACATTAAGTACCTGGTGAAAAATTAACAAAAATATATTCTTAATTTTAAATTACGCGCCTTTTTGTCCTTTTTCCGCGTCTATTTACGAATGATTTCAAGCTTTGTCCTTACTTTGTAATTTTTAAAAGAGCCGAAATTAAATTGGAGGGTAATTATTTCAAAAATATTTATAGTAACAGATATCTAATAGTTACCGCTGTAACATGTTTTGATTCCACCTTCATTCCTACGCGGATGACCCAGATATTGTAAGATTACATTTTTTTGGCGCCAAAAATTGAATTCCATGTGTAGTAACTAACACTTTTGTGCGTTGTGTTGTATTAGGGTTATATTCGTTTAAATTCAATTGTTTTAAACCCCCGGCTCTTTTCGGCACGCCGCCTGCTTATCACCCCACGTATTTTTAGATTTGAATCTCGCGCGCAAACATGTGACCTACCGTTTTTCCAAAGCTCGTGAAACATAGTCGCCATGGAAAAAACATACTCGTTCGTTGTTTGTTTCTGCCGTAGCAACAAATTCGTCGCAGTGATAAGTGTCGCGAATTTACGTATAATTGAAAAAATATTAGCAAAACCTTTTTCTACACCAGAAAAACAGGATGTATTCATGTCATGCTTCTCCTAACATATGCCGGTTGTGCTTAGGGACTACAAACCTGTCGTGGGTTTACAAGGGAGAATTGCTCAGTTTGGCGAAAATTATTTACGTTACTTGTGGAGTTAAGGTATGTACCATCAACACAATCTCAGATCGCTGTTTTAATTTCCAGTTCAATTTAAATACACTACTAACGGACATAACCTCACTTGTTTGTGGTTTTGCGTGCGCACATGGGGATCCGACTTTGTTCATTAACATACAGTCAAATAAAATACGGGGACGGGTTTTCTGCTGTCGACGCCATGGTTTGGCAACAGCGCATTAAAACGAGGTCATGACGTTCAAACGCAGCCGCCTTGATCGCAACCGATACCGATAGCCGCTACAATTCACAGCACACTGCGATAAATTTGTTCGATGCGTGTATGTGCGCATCTGAAAATGATTGTTATTCTTGACTGCGATCAAATTCGCCATGTTCCAAAACGTGTGTCGGTTATGTTCGTGTACAAAGGACCTGGTGTGGGTTTTCGATAAGAAAATTGCTGATAATATGACGGACATTGTGAAGGTCACCTGCGGTGTTGAGGTACGTACGTGAAAGTTAGTGCTGCATTTGAAAGAAAACCAAGTTGCCTGTGAAAATTCACACAAATCGGCGGTAATGCGAGACGCGAGACGATGGGAAGTGGGCGGAGCGTCCGGAAGGAGTGGTGGGGGAAGGTGTATGGGCAAGACTCATGATCCTGTTTTGTGGAACGTGTACCCCGTTTCAGTTTGGAGTTACAGAAGATAAACTATTTCTTATATCATGAATATTTTCTGAAAAATTGAGGTTATGTCACACAGCGATCTGAGTAAATGGATAATTTTTATACAAAGTTAAATATTCAAAGATTACAAATTTTTGGCACGAAATTAATGCAAATTTGTGTTCATTTTCAGCCACGTATGTGCGTAATTCAGAAGAATACAAAAAACGGAAAGAATGTGCCAAAATGATTATGTTTTCCTTGTTTTTACAAGTCTTACTTGGTAAATTTACCATTACATATTACATATTGACGTTTAGTAGTTTCTAATTAGTTAATTTAGCATGGTCATATTGCAAGTACGACTTAAGTAAAACCTTGGCACCTGATTTCAAGGACGTTTCAAGTTCAGCTCACTCGTTTAGCTGTTTCATATGAATCCTAAATCTGAACCGTTCTTCTTTCCATTACTACAAGGTTCATATTTGCTGAAATTCAGTCTTTGTTATCTACGCCAGGTGTGGGTATTCTCTATATCACCTTGATTTTAATTCAAATTTCCCGCTTGGCAAACCTTCCAAATGTTTACCCGTGGAAAATTTTTACTTTCTTGGCTTACTGTGATGCGATTAATTTAATGCCCTTTCATGCCTTATCCGGCAAACAATATTTGCAGCTTTGATGAATTTACCCAACGGTCTTGCTCAGGGACCACAGATGTGGCGTGGGTTTACAAGGGAAAGTTGGCGAGTTCGGCGAAAATGTTCTACGTTAATTGCGGAATTACGGTATGTATCACAACCCAGTAGTGTTAAAAGGTCGTATTTACTAATTTTGACACATAAATAACGAACATGCCCTAAATTCACAAATTTTGTTTTTGTTACACCATTTGGCAGCAGCACAAATAACCGGGCCATATAACGCTGAGTCAGCCGCCTTGATTGCAACCGATATACGGTGTCTGGACAGCACTTTGTAATGCAACACTTTAGTATGTGAAATAGTAAGTGTCTGCGGAAAGTTGATACTTGGATTCATTTTCCTTTGTTGGTTGTGAACAAATACATCATGCGTTGTGTCCACTGTGTGCGTATTAGTGTTACCTTATCAAAAGACAAAGGATTTCGAACAGAAAAGGTATCACAAAGGTACCGGGAGGTCGGTCGTCTATGAAATACTAGTATACACACAAAAGTATCTTCGTGGTAGGAATTTCTTAGTTTTGATATACTGATGACAGACATTGGACCAAGGCCGTATAAAGATTTAATAAAAATACGTATATTCTGTAAATTTTGGCTGGAAAGCAGTGTTCCGTGCGATTTTGCGAAATGGAAGTCCGGTATGGGCTGGGAAGAAGGACTGTATGTTCAGTACCTGGTGATACAATTATAGGCATATGTGATGATGTCTGCGCTTAAGGACCATTATAGCATCACATTGTGTTCAACTACCATGAAATCAGCGGAAATTTTAGATGATACTTTCGGTGCGAGTAAACTAAACAGGATACTATTAACCCTTTATCTACAATGTTTACAAAATTTGGTTATATATTCAATATAATATATTGTTGTGTTGTCATGACGTTTTCGGTTGTAAACTTGAATTTTGCCCCTTATTGTACACCCATTGAAGGTAGACTGTTCGATTTAACATTGGCATTTAATTTTGTTTAAATTAATTACAAACACCTTCTGATTTTTTTTATTACAAGCCGTCGTCATGGAGATATTGAACTGTTACGGCGGGACAGGACGTTATTTGGAGTAAGTGGTTTTCATCTTAAATTTTTAATAAAATGCTCCTCATAATACCGATACAATCTTTCTGAAACCAAATTGATTTTCAATTTATAGAATTACCTGAGAACAATACACAAAATTCCGTATTTAGGTTTTAAAACCCACTCTGATTAGATAATGAATTTGATAATGATGTGTGCAAGTATGCAACAGTTGCGTTGTCTCAAAAGTTCACAAAGTACCCAACTGATCTTTGTTGTTTCCTAGGCTTTAATTGTCTCGTTAGATCTGTCCTTCATTCGTCTATTTTTTTAATTTTGTTATCCTTTCAACCACATTTCTATAATTTAGGTTTTTCTTTTGCTTCTACTGTGAACACTCTTAAATTTTGCACACAACTTAAAAGTGATGTTTTTACTTAAATGGTAAGAGTTTCAGGAAATACAAAACTCCTAAGTATTAAAATGATCCACAAAAACACCGGTGGTAGACCAAGCGGTACGCGAAAAGCAATTTTAGAAGCTAACCATTTTAGACGATGTAAGCGCCAAATATTCTTGGCCTAACCAAGAAAAAAACATGTTGCAAAAATATATATTTCAATATAATCTCTGTTAACTTCAATACATTTAACACTACGATTAACTAACAGCTCTATCCCTTTGAAAAACCAATTTGAATCTTTTATCACTAAAATAATGTACTACCAATTGCACCTCTTTATCCGTCGCAAAACATTTTCCCTGCGAGAATCCATAGTCCCCTATAGCAGTTTAAGCAAGACATGTGGTATTAACGGGCACATTGTCATAAAGCAATCGAACATATCTTAATTTTCCCGGTCGGTTTTCTCGAATACTTTCTCGTAATTTGTGCAGTAATGAATAGAGAGCGGATTTCTGTCGGGCTAGGCAAGGCCAAACTCGGTTCGGCTCGTACGGGATGCGAATTCATTGCGGTTACGGAGTGCACTTCGTTTATTTGAGATTAGAATAACGCTGTTTCGTTGCACTCTGCTGTTAATTCCCGTTCTCATTTACTTAGCCGTTTGATTAATAAATCGTTAATTATATTTATGGAATTAGTACCGATTAAATTCAGTGATTATCTATCACCCGCTACTGAGTCCCGGCGATCCAGCGCGTCCCCACCTATAATCGTGACGTAGCCCGACAGAAATCCGCTGTCTAGTAATGAAGCATAATATGTAGCGTTGGCAGTGGTATTTCCTTCGTTAAAATCAGTCAACAGCATGCCTTCACAGTCCCAAAAAATTGTGGCCATGATTTTTTTGGAAGATTGAATAAGCTGGAGGTTCACCAGGAAATCGCCATTCCATAGATTCTTTTTTGGATAAGGGATCATGATAAAGGACCATATAATAGTTTTGTCTCCCGTGACAATTGACTGCAAAACTGCTTCCTGCTGGCCTTTACACAACGTCAAAAATGATCTCGCGCGATTCACTTGATGCGGTTTCCCAACAGGGGAGTGAAGTTTAGGAACCCATCTTGCGCTTACCTTTTTCATATCTAAATGCTCATGTAAAATGCGGCGAACAGTTCCCATACTTTCAAACGCCGATCATTTAACACAATATCTTCTACAGTGTCGATTGATTGTCGGGTAGTCTTCATTAGACTTCATTTGGCCAACCAGAACGAGGTCATGAGAAACAATTGTGATCTTTTTTTTAGTAGCATATGCAACAATCATCCTGTCCTTTAATATCCTTTGGAGCAATTCAAAACTAATGGGCAGTGGGGCTTGAAATTTTACACACTTGCTACGGAGACTGTAGTAATTTATGAGTTGTACAAATTTCCCGACGCGCAATGGCAAATATGTCAGGCCGAGAATGTTTGGCGCTTACCTCGTAGACCGATACTTGAGCCTTCGGAACTACCACTCTATTATCACCTCTGTTTGAGCAGGGCTATAATAACATAATAACATGGTTTTAACCTTTGTTCTCTTATTTTGTTTTATCCGTAGCCCCTCTCGTTATATTTTTCCGAAATTGTAGAATTCAAAATTGAACAATTTTGTTGTGTCCAATAGTCTTCACATCTGCTCTTAAGTTTACTCGTTAAGTACTATATGGAAAAGTACTGTCGTTTCAAGGTCCGTCTATTTCCGGATTTCTTCCATCACATTTACTTCTGCCTCGATCTACTTCCTTATCGGCACTCGCAAAAATATTCACAGTATTGCTTGCTCAGTGATAACCCCTGCAACAGACAATCATTGCATAATGATAACAGTAAAGATGCCTGAGAAATGAAGATATTAGCACTGTCCTAGCAAGTCAACCACTTTCATCCAAATCTTTGCCCAATTCGTTGATCTTTCAATTAGAGCCCCATTAGGGTTGCCAATAACGTATATCTAATACCGATGACCAAAAGTGACCGGATTTCACCAAAAGCAAAATTTTGCATCTGCATTACTAGTTGCTGACTTGGTACAAACTCATTTCACACAAAAAGTTTACCAATGACCGCCCGAATATGGAATTTCTACTTTACCAGTTCTTCGGGCGGAGATTCCACTCAGATGACACCCAAACTCCTAAGCTTCAGGGAAAACCGGAGACCTAGCAACCCTAGTCCCCATGGAAACAACACCTTAATTTCTTGTTTATTTATTCCTATCCGATTAATTTAACCATACTGCTAAAAAGTGCTCTCAAATTGTGAAAAACATGAACAAACCTAGCAGAAAACACTCCCCACGATATCAGACACGCAAAATGTGCCCCCCTGGCGTGCGTGCCAACGGATGCCGGTTGTGTTTCCGCAGGACGAATCTGTTGTGGGTCTTCACGGGAAACCAGTCCATATTAGCCAACATTATTTACATCATTTGTGGTGTCAAGGTACGTGTAAAAACTCAGTAGATCTTCCAATTTCCACAAAAATGTAGTGAAAAACGGACGCCATAACCGCACTTTTTGTAGTAGGGGCACACGTGCGCAGGTGCTACGATTGTGCGCACAAAATTGAAATCGAACGGTTATTCTAAATCTGGTCCTGAAACACAATACAAAACACACAGTTATCGCACAGATCGGCAACGCCGCATCATTGAGGTCACGCCTAGTTACGCAGCCATCTCGATTCGCAGCTCCCGTTCCCCCTGTACGATAAAACAGTGAAAGCGGCTACTACAGTACGAGAAATAAATATTTACGGGCGAGAATTGCTGTTAGTGTTTTCGTTGCAAATAAGAGCACGATGTTCCAAAACGTCTGTCGCTTGTGTTCGTGCACACAGGACTTGATATGGGCATTTGACAAGAAAATCGCCGATAACATAACGGACATTATCGCAGTCACGTGTGGGGTTGAGGTACGTATGTTGGAGATTGATTTTTTTTTTTTTTTTTTGGTTTTAAGAGTATGTCGAGGTGATTGTGGAAAGTTTCCACGAATCGCGCGAGTGACGTATATCGGGTTGGGGCTACGTAAAGTAGGCGGGGTATTTGGGAAAGGTAGTGGGGAGAAGGTACATTGTTAAGACTTCCTGGTATTTTTTTTTGTTTTGTTTTGTGATTGAGGGAAGGGAGGCACCGTTTTTGTCCGACTTTTTATTTATAACAAAATGAGAATTTGTTTAATTCTCTCTAATCAAATTATTTTAAGTAATATTTTATGAAGCGCCACTTTAAATAATACCTGATGCAGATAAATTAAAATCTTTCATTTTTGATTTTTGATTATATAGTTTCTTGTATGTTGAGAAACGGGCCGCGAGTTTCGCTCACGCTATTTGCTTAATACGTGTTTCGCTGGGTTTACTAAAAAAAAAAAAAAACAAGCATCGACAATTGCATTTAAAATTCAAAGGCTGCCTGAAAAAGATACACGCATTCCAAGATCATTCTGAATCAAGGGATCCATCGTTACCCGTTTTGCTGTATACTTCAGGTCAGTCTTGAAGACATTTAAATAATCCAGTTCTGCGATGATTCCAAAGATCAGTTTCACGTCAATACGGTGCCGATACTTTGAAACGTTGACTTAGAGGCCATCGGGGACCTTGGGCGTTCCTGATCGATCTTAGTCTGTCCCTTTCCTGTGATTGATGTATAGACTTTGTTCCGATTTTATTTGTAGTTAATCCGTTTTTGTTGTAATACTTAAATCCATAATGAGAATTTCAACTAAAACTACCTGTAGGGAACTGATATTTACAACCATCAGTTTGAAATTAAATTGTCATTAAAGATTTTGGAGAACATACCATAGCAAAACACGACCTCAAAGGTTGTTTTCCCTTTAATTTAAATATTTGACCAATGATTTGTTTTGTTAGCCATGTGGCTTGTAGTTTATATTATTTGTCTATTACATACTTTCAAAACATAAAGGATTGTGTGCCAGAACAGATAAAATTGTAATCTTCTTTGCGAAAATGTAATTCTAAATTGGTCAGCCCTGACATTTCTTTTAGTTTTTAAACTACCAAATCGTGAATAGAATGGTCCACTATTATGTTCTTACTCTTCTTACTAATCTAAATACGTATATATTTACCTAATATATCTTCCAAGGTGAACAAGTAAGTTTCTTTTGAACTAGGATCCTCAATTTTTCCTTGCGATACATCTCGAATTAGCTGTCCCGTCTTTTTTGAGAGAAAATTACATTTGGAAATGCTTGGGCTCACTATTACCTAAAATTAAATTACAAATTACTGGTGCCAAAAAAGGGACACGCTTCTGAATTCAACCGTTTTCTTCGATTTTTGAAGGGCGTAATGTTGTGTTCCGCTTTGTATATTCAAGTTCACCGTTTCTTGATCTATTTTTTTCAAGCAGAACCACTAAATTGTATGTTTATTCCTACCCGGATAACTTGAATATTATGTAATACCATTTTCTAGAATATCGAAAAATCAAAATGTGCTACTCGTACGTACTCACCAACGTATGACGGTTGCCGTTACACACAACGAGGCTGTTCGGGTTCTTCTCACATCTGGGAGAAATGTTTCATTTGCGGCATCGGTGATTGATAAGATAAGGTAACATGATGAAACATTGTGAACATAACCTGACTTTTTCCTATTAAAATGTGGGCGCATGCGTGGATACAAGGATTATATTTACCAACCCATTTACATAACAAAATTTCTTTGATTCTCCCAAATTCGAATTGAGGTTAGCAATCCCAAAAATATTTACAACAACAGGTGTGGAACTATTGTCCTTACAATATATCCTAATTTCAAACTCGTACCTAAAAGGATGGTTAAGCAATTTAAAGATTACAAATATCCGACGCCAAAAATTACACGCCATCTTACCCTGCGACTTCTCGGCGAACATGAGAACATGCATCGAGGTAAATTTAGAACGGTAGGTGCAAAAAATTAGACAATCTAGCGAAGAAAACTATTACGAAATGCGAACCTAACCTCACCTTTCCATTTGTGCTGTGGCCTTAACTGTGCGTGTGTGCTACTACAGTGTGCGACAAATGAGGTATGAGGTACAGCAACGTATAATATTACCCTAATTTCATTGCGACAAGAAATAGTGAGTCACGCAGCGTTACAGCACGTGGCAACGCCGCATCAGTCCTACGTCACACTCGTTCGTTAGTCGTTGCCTCGATCAGCCCGCCAGCAGCCGTTGTTCGTTAAAGCCAGTGTCAAGTGAAAGCGCGGCTGAGGCGGCATTGGACGCAGTATTTGGGATGAAATAATTCCCTCTGTGATCTGCGAAGCTCGATATTTTTATTGGTGTTGACCGGGAATTTAATACACGATGTTCCAAAACGTATGTCGTGTGTGTTCGTGCACAAAGGACTTGGTCTGGGTATTTGATGAAAAAATTGCCGCTAATATGACGGAAATTATCAAAGTCACCTGCGGCGTAGAGGTACGTTTTTTTGAATGTTTATTTATGGATGTAATGTCAACTTAGCCGTGGAAATTTATGTGGACCGAGTGTAAGGTCAGCCGCGTTGGATGACGGGAAATGGGCGGGGCGTTCGATAGGAATGGTGGGGGGAGGTCCATAATGAGAACTTTTATTCACCTTCTGCCCAAATGGTTACATAGATTTTTCAATAGTAATAAAATCTCTTTTTATTTAAATAGTACACCAAAAAGATGATATTTTGCATTTTGAAGTGGTACTTCAATAAAAAGTTTGGATGTTACGTTTTAGTATTGCAATATGTGTATTAACCAGAGAATGAAATGTAAACAAGTGTTTATCTTGACGTATTTGACCATTTATTATAAAATCGTCAACATTTTGAACAACGCGATTTTTGCGGGATTTTTGTGTTCTATTTTCGTCTTTGGCGGTTCATTATCAGAGTCCGAACGTCTGTGAGAGAAAAGGCAACGTGCCAGTGCAGTGGTGCACTTGAACCTTGTGTCGGAATGATTAACCTTCCGATGACTTAACTACTGTACACAAAAATATTAGTTTTCGTTCAAAGTCACGCATATCCAGAGACATTCATACCCCACATTAGATATTAAACGCAAGGATCATCGTATTACAAACTCAGTTTTGTGGAGAAAAATTTTGCGACAACAATAATTGCTAACGTACATAATCTTAATTCAGGCTACTTAGAATATAACCTAACTTTCACCAAAAGCAGCGAGCCAAAGGATAACTAAAAGGTTACTCGCATTTGTCTGGGCTTGGTCATTGTGGTTCAAAGTAGTTTTTTCGCTCCCTGGAATCGAATTTTCATACTTTCAGGACAAAAACGGGAGTACAATTCGTGACGTCCCTTGTAAGATTCATCTTTGTAATTAACCAACTTCCCTGTCAATATATCTTTGGAGGTTTTAGGTGCACTCACAGGTACCTTTCTTTTGGAAACGGGATAGTGGTGTTATGTGAAAATCGTATAGGTACCCTTAAGAATTTCCGTGGTCAAGTCATTCAAAAAAGAACTGAAAGCAATTGTTAATGGTTAGAATAGCGACATAACACATTTTAAACGTTTAAATGTCGTCTATTAAAACATTATTGGGTATTAATGCTATAATTTTGTTTCTACGACGTAAAATCCGCCATTGAGATTCGGCTCCTATCCTCAGGGTGGCTATCCGACGTACATTCCTCGAATATTTGAATTACGTTTCTTTCATGTGTGAAAAACACGACAAGACACCTCGGGGTAGCCCTTCTGGGTAGATACACGAAGTATTATCAGATTTCGAGTTTATCCACTAATTTTAGCCGATGGCCACCACATCATACTAGGACTCGTCTAGGTCGTTCGTGTTCCCACTATTTGCAACATTCTTACTCACCATACCCCCATTTTTTACCTCACCATAAATTTTCTTGCATGTCAATAATTTATTTTTTGTGTTGTCTTGAAGGCTCATGGAAGTTCAATCTTACTTGGCGGTTATGTGGCGATAAAGTTTTAGGTCTTTGTCAGGAGATCGTTGTCCCTTCTGCAAATTTAACCCACAACATTCTTGTGCCCTTATTTTTTCTCATACAAGTTTTCACGTGGTCCTTGTTTACATGGGAGCAATGTTGCCAAACGTAGCGGAATTCCGCTACCAGTGTCTTAATTTTGACCAAAGAGTGGCACAAAAACTTCAAAATGTAACGGAATTTTGCAGCCATGATAATGAGAATAATTAATAACATTTGCAAATTTTATTTTATTGAAAAATTGCTGGATGTATGTTGTTGCTTTAACGGTGGCTGGCGTAGGTGCAACCCCCCCCCCCCCCCCTCCTGTCGGCAATGTGCTGGTTGACTGTAACGGTGCGTAGGGGAATTTTCGGCAACGCGTGGGGGAATGAATTTCACTCTGGCAACACTGTATGAGACCTGTACTATTTAATTATACATTGACGAATGTTAACATAATCTCACTTTAAAGCCTATGTTACCGTAAATGCGACGCGATACCTCGAAATATGACGTAGGGGTTTGCGATGGCAAAAATATTTGCAATACTAGATGACCTGACCTGACCTGACCTGACTGGCACTATTTAATTACACGTTGACGAATGTTAACATAACCTCACTTTTCCGTATTTCACTTTAAAGCATATGTTACCGTAAATGCGACGCGATACCCCGAAATGTGACTTAGGGGTTTGCGATGCCAAAAATATTTGCAATACTGGATGAATCACCATTACCCTTATGACATACTAGAATAAGAAACTCGTACAGGTGAGGATGACTAAGAAATTCAAAGATTACGAATTACTTATAGCAAACATATTTTAGCTTGCTATATAAATACGTTTCCAAACTAAATTCATTGAACGCCCTCTTACGAACCCAATAAATTTGTTGTTCGTAGTAATTAGCAGAAAGGTATCCCCGAACATAACCTCACTTTTCCGTAATTAATGTTATAATATAGAACAGTAAAACGAAACGTTACCACAACACCGATAACACAGTGCACTCGTTCAACATTTGGCAACGCCGCTAGGCTGCCGATTTGATCGGAGCCCGTTTTCCGTTAACTAATACAAAGCGAAGTGAGCAACAAGCAAATTAGAAACCGAGATATGTACGACTAAATGTACGGTGCGTAAAGTAGCAGGTTTTTACGTTTGGGTGTGAATATTTTTTCGGTATTTGCTTAAACTAAATCCGCAATGTTGCAAAACGTCTGTCGATTGTGTTTGTGTGAACAGGACCTCGTCTGGGTCTTTGACGAGAAAATCTCCCATAACATGAAGGAAATTATCAGTCACCTGTGGTGTCGAGGTATGTAAGTGGGAATTGGATTTTTTCGTCGATTTTGAAGGAAATCGAGGTGGCTGGGGAATAATCGAGCGAGTTCTGCGGGTCGGGTGGAGACTGGAAGTGGGCGGAGCGTGTGAAAGGTGTGGTAGGGGTAACGATACAGTGAGACCGATAACGCTATTGATTCAGAATCAAGGTTATGACAGTTTTTTTTTACTTTCCGATCGTAAACTGAGGGAGTATTGTAATAGGATCCATCGGGCGAATGACTATTTCCATGTTTTCTTGAGGTTTCATGACCCCTAGAGTATGAAAAAGTAGGTCTCGCGTTTCCGTCAATCGGTCGTCGTCTGTCTCGATTTTTATATTGCACCCATTTCTTGTAAAATTTTATTTGCATCTTAGGAACATGTGGGAAAACCGTAATCAAAATTTATTTAATGCTCTTATACACCATCTAGCGAAAAGTAGCACGTAGTCCAGACCTAACCTCACTTTGCCGTAATTGCTGTGAGTGTGACTGCGCATGTGCTACTGCAATGCGCGACAAATGAGGGACATCGTCGCATCGCTTTACTGCAATTTCGTTGCGACAAACGCTGTGTCACGCAGTCGTCGCGGCGTGGCAACACCGCATCCGGCCTACGTCACACTCGTTCGTTAGACGTTACCTCGATCAGCAGCCGTTGTCGCTTAAAACCAGTATCAAGTGAAAGCGTTTTAAGACAGTATTGGACGTGTATACGTTGAAATAAGTCCGTCTGTGCACTGTGAAACCTCATATCTCTATTGGTGTTGACCTGGAATTTAATACACGATGTTCCAAAACGTCTGTCGTGTATGTTCGTGCACAAAAGACTTGGTCTGGGTATTTGATGAAAAAATTCCCGATAATATGACGGAAATTATAAAAGTCACTTGTGGCGTAGAGGTACGTTTTTTATACATATATTCATTTGTATGTATTATCGAGGTGGCTGTGGAAATTTATGTACAGTAGCGGTCATTTCTACGGAACCACTCGATAAAAAGTCAAGTTGGTAGCTCTGTCATCTAGTACTTTACGCCGAACGCGGTTGGTAGCGGTAGTTGATATGGCAATCGAAACTAGCACAACACGAATGTTTCGGTTGCCCTCAGTTATGCCGCACTGTATCCCGTGCAGACTGTATGTTCTGTTCATCTATTTATTAAAATAAAATATCTACATTGACAACGGGGCCATCTAACCTGTCAAATTTTTGACACATATGTTTTCCCCCAGAAACCCGTCAAGGTCGCTTACACCAAACAAATTTTGAAAATTTACACTAGGGAGTGGTTCTATAGAAAAGATCGCGACTTTATACGGAATGTCAGGCTAGCTGTTTTGAATGATGGGAAATGGCAGGGTGGTACCCATATGGTACCCCTGTTGGGATAGAAAGAGCGATAACGGTCGGCGAGCTTGACCATGGTCGACACGTTATGTTTTTTTTTTTTTTTTGTTTAATATATTATTAATTATAAGTGTGCAACATGAATGTCCCGCCGTACCATGCTACAATAATAATGAAGGAAATTTGCGTAAAAATGTCCTTGAATACAAGTGGTCAAAAATGTCAACATTATAGGTTAGATTCTGTGACTTTGTTTTTTAAATATCAGAAAAAATGTACGTCAAACGTCATTCGGTAGTTGATTCCTGGAACTGGTAACATTTACTGCGAAAAATTTCTACCATAGGTCGTGACCTAACTTAATAGTATATTTAAGTACCACATGGTGGCGGTCATGTTAACCTCACACTAATGTGACTCGATCTTAAAATGTGTGGCAAATAGTAATTTTTACGAAATAGAAATATATCCTTGTTCTTCTTACGATCCGTGTTTTTGACGGCAGGTATTTTTTACTTCCAGTATGGCGATCCTTTTACTGTCATTTGGCTGTCAATTTTCTTGTTGGTAACACGTCCTCCACGACTATCTGCCGGTTGCCGATGACGCTTTCTCGTTGTATAGGGCTGGAGTTAGTTTTGTAACCGGAATAGTGTTCTCTTCGGTCCGTTGACCCGATAATTCCAGTAGTTTGTCTAGAATTATAAGAATTTTATGGACTTCCAGAGTTGATTCGTTTTACAGACCTTTTCGAACCGCATCTTTTCCAAGAAATTTCTACCTGCCTGTCAGACTGCCC